AACATATTTAAAACATATTAAAAACATCAATTAAGCAGGTTTTAAACTGTTTAAAACACGTTTAAAACAGCTTTTTTCCCAACCTTGGAAATCGCTCGCATACAACAAATACTACGTCCTTATTTGTACGTTTAGCATAGTAGCGCGTGTGGTGAAACGGATTTAATCGATTGGAATTGGATCGTGTAATCGAATATTGCGAGCACCGCGTCTATGGACGGAGGAGGGAAAAAAATTCGGACGGTAGGACGTTTTACGCGAGTTTTACGTTTTGATTCGAACCAACGTTATAACGACACGGAAACTCTAGTCTACCGACATGCCCAGGTTATATGGCAAAAAAAGATCGCGCGTCGATACGTGTAAGATCAGAGTATTGAGCAGTCCTTCCTTTCGAATGTGTCCACGCCGTTCACCGTAACGAATATGAAGGCCAGTGAAGATACGAGGAGGAGCGTTATTAACGTATAACAACACTGCGGTACTTAGATAATGCGACTTAATTTTTAAAGAAAAAAAAAGGAAAAAATAAAGATAATCGTGAGACTTCGCGCGGAGCACATTCCACATAAGAGAAAATGCTTGTTGCCCGACCAACATTCCAACACGTCATTTCACCGCGACAATCGGATCTTGGGACTCGATGCAAGTCGAGTGGCGAACGAAATTTGAAGAGAGAAAAAAAAAGAAAGAAGCCGATCGCACTGTTGGTATTTCTTTTCTGCCGCGTCCATGTCGCGTAACTGCGCTCTATCTTTCGCACTTTGGTATCCTTAAAACTTGTCTCCCGCTCTCTGCTCTCCGAGCGCATCATATCTCATCGATATAAAAGTCGCACATCGTAAAAAAACACCATCTACCCACACGGTGTGCGCGACAAAGCTACCATTTATAGTTTCGCCGTTCTGTTCATTGAGTGCCTAACATTTCTCCCTACATTTGTACATACCATTATTTTTATGTATTATGTAATTAACAAAGGGGGGACCGCGAGTGCGCGCCGGTCTCAGTCTCAACTGGCCAGAACAAGAGTCTAGGAGTAAATTGTTGAAAATATGAACTACACGAGTATTTCTTTCCACACTTTCCATCATCCAAGCGTACTGTCCCTCACGAATCCAATCTTTGTAGGTAGGCAAAGTATATGCTTTTGTAAATTTTTATATTCTTTCTCATTATATCTTAAAAATATTGTTTTTTATACTTTTATATCTTGAAATAATATTTTATCGAATCGTAGCTTCTACTTATTGACATGATATCTTCATGATTTTAGTGTTAAATCCGTCTGTTAAATACCTGTTTTTTTATTAAAAATTCATATTTCTTAATTTTTTTTAAACAAATGAAGATTGCTGATAAAAAACATCATGCAGACCTATACATATAGGTAGGTATATTTTTTATATTAATATTTACATCTTACAATGATAATTTTATATTATATAATTATATTAATTAATTGAATTTGATAAAACTATTGCTTAGAAATTCTAAGTGCGATCTCTTGAAAATTATTAGGTGTTAAATTTAATTCCTGCCGTTTTTTCGTCTCCAAAATTGATTTGTTTCGAAGAGAAGATGAATGAATACCTTAACCAAAGTAATTTCCTCCATTTTCTAC